CATCCCCAGCCCTAGTTTATATTTGAGTTGCTCAGTGCCTCACTGTTACTGAGGCTGGCTTTGAACTTGTGATCCTCATGCCTTAGCCTCCCAATTATCTTGCTCTTTTACTAGATCTCTTGCCTATGCATGATTTTGTAACATTATTTGGAATATATAGGGTCACTGATATATGTGATTTATAAATGTGGAAATATTTCACTATTCAATACTAAAGAGCAACATTATTAACTGTTAGTGTTATTAGAAAAGTCTATCAATATTGAGAATCTCTCAATTTCATGGTAGCCAATCAAAGCTTGCCAAAATTCAAATTTTATTTGAAAGCTTGAATATTACCACTGCCAAAAATACTGTTGGTGATTTACCTGATATGTCAGATTTATTTCATTCATTTTCAAGAAAATGCTGCCAAAGACTTGAATGTATATAACCATAAATTTTCCTGCCTGTCATTTTGCAAAATGAAAATGATGTGCCCTGAAAAGTATGGCTAGTTCGGCTGGCAACTCAAGCAATCACATAGATGGTTCTCAAGGTCAGATGCATCCATGTGTCTCACAAGTCATTCTCATTGCATTATGTGGAATATTTTCTTAAAGTATACAAAGGTAAAGATTAATACAATTTGTACTTTTTACTGCTTCACTGAGGAAATTCTTCACTGAAACTAATCCTGTCCCTTGTAATGCAATGTGGTAGAAAATACAATTACTTCTAGTAGCATAGTGCCACTCATTGATGCTAGGGCACCAGCCCTTTTTGACCATCATGGTCTTTGCAGCATTAATGCAAAGTTAACAAAGAGAAAATGAGATTGAATTTGTGATCTTCCTAAAACAGTGTCAGGGATCTTCAGCAGTCCATATAGAAGATAAGCTGGCTGAGATCCATTCATGCATTAGGAGTTGCAAAGGAACTCTTCTTCATCAATGATTTTATTTCCTGAGGTATAGATCATATAGAAAAAAAAAACAGAAAAAAAATGTTTGATTTACTTCCTTTATGTACCAGTTTTCAAAATGATAAAGTGGTTCTGAAATGTTCTCTAAAGGTTACTGTTAACCTGAACAATCAGAGAGAGATTTTCCAAAGAATAATGGTATTTACTTGAGATAGCATGACAATGGGAACATGGTGTCATAATAAGCTATGGCAAGTGTTCTTTCGATAGCATCTTGTCTCAATTGTTGCAGTCTTAGAGAATATCAAAGATAATCTTTGTTAAAGAAATTCGTACAAATGTGTGCACCTTACAAAGAGTGGGGTTATGGCATAGAATGTGAAGAAAAGTCCTTGAAATAGGATTTACCTCCAGACAGGCAGGCAGGAGCTCTCTCCCTTCATCACTTCTTCAGACTCTAATTTTTTCTAAGCCTGACATGAATAATTTTATGTCGGTATCAGCAACTTTCACTTGTCTAAAATAGCTTTTGTCAATATCATTTCACTTGTATAAGGTCATGTAACCCAAGTTTGAAGAGCTAAGTTAACTTTGCTGACATCAGATTGGGGAAAAGAAAAATACTCCTAAGAACTGTCTATGTTCATTTAACAAAATACTGCACCAACAACCATTTTTACCCCCAGGAACTACTGGATTCATCTTTCCTTCTCCTCTTGAGTACATTTCAAAGCACAGAACTTTTGGAGATTGTAAGAGATGAGGTGATAAGAGTGTAAGAGTGTTTTTTGGTGGACCTCATCTTATTTTCTACCACGAATACCATCTTTTTGCTCAGCACTCTTCCTGTGAGTGACCTCTCAGTCTATGACTTCTCAAATGTGTACGCCCCCTTCCTTCTTTCAAGAAAAGAAAGGCCTGTTATAATAGCAATGAATAATCTAATGGCATCCTGCTGGTGTTCCCTACTGCTCCTTGTCGCTCCTTCTTTCAAATATGTGTTGTCACACACATGTATAATGTCTGCAGCTCAGGCATGTTAACAGACATCCCCACCCAGCCTGCCCTTAATTAAGGTGCCAACCCCACGACTCATTCCCAGCGGTGAAGAAGAGATTGCCCCTTACATCACTCAAGCCCATTATTCTCTCTTTTCCCCACGACATATGTAACTTCTTGATGTTTTTTTAGCTCAGGGTTTAAGCCAAGACAAGACATATTTAGCATTTTAAGATTAATATTATATATCCTCTACGTTTACAAGGCTAGACACCCTGGGGATTCACATTTAATAGATGTTAATGGAATTTAATTTTATACATGCTAGGTATGAACATCTGTCTCCTAAATAAAATAGTATAAAATCTTATGTGGCACCAAGAAAACTCCAAAACAAATTATTTTTCACTCTGTAACCTGAAATTGAGTTACTGAGCAAAGCAGAAAAGCTGGTCTTTGATATTTGGAATTTAAAACCTGAATATAATTATCATTGATTAATTTCACTGAGTGTCAGTGCTAAGTTAACTTTGCACTTTGAAATCTGAAACCATGTCATATAGTGATTGTCATAGTTCTGAAACAGTACCTAAAATAAAACTCTCTCCACAACTGGTTTTCCCAGTGACTTTCATTAGGCAAGGAATCTTCCATGCAAAAAAGTCTCGCCTCAAATATATTAAGTAGTAATCAATATGATATATATTTTGAAATTTTTATCTAAAGAAAAACAATTCTTCGAAAGCATTATCACTCAAAAATATCTTGTAAAGTTAAACATACTTGACAACACTTGCTAGGTAAATTAATTTGGAATTCAAGGCTGTACCTAGGATCATAAAAGCCACTTATTTTTAAAGTACTTTTTTGTCTGCATGTCAAATATAATTTAATTTCAAATTTTGGCTAATGTTATCATATATAGAATTTGTATATAGTAAAGATAGAAGGCAGAACCTTTGTATCTTTGTAATCTTCACAATTCGTGAACCAGCATATAAAAAACTACCAGTTATTCTGTACATATTTTAAATGCTGAAATCTGTTCAGTTACAATTAATGAAGAAAAACTCTTTTTGCTTCAGTCCCCTGTACTGAAGTGCCTATTTAATAAACATTTGATGAGTAAATAAATGATTTTGACAGTAGCAGGTGCTCACAGCAAAAATGAGGTCATGCAGTGTACTGCAATGAGCCATGCAAGGGACAGAGCTGAGTTCTTGTCCCAGTTCTGTCACCCATTAGCTGTGTGATCTTAGATAAGTTACTTGACCCTCCTGGACCACTTATTTCCTTCATATAAATTTGGATGTCAGAGATAATAGCAATAATGTTTGAGCTCTAAAAGGCTACAGTTCTAAATCTTTAAATTGTTCTTTGTTGTTCTTGGCAGTTTTATTGTGGACTTCATCCATATGTGTCTACAGAAAAGTAGAGTCATATTTAGACTATAGAAGTTCTGCTTTGTGCTTTCACATGTTAGCCTCTAGAAAAAAAAATATTGAGAGGTTTAATGTGCTAAGGCAGGTGGTGGAAAGGAAGAAGATTCCAGGGTTCATACAGAAGACTTGAGCAAGTGGGGGGAAGAGAAGGGAACCCTGGAAAGGAATCTTCTATAGCTCAGACTAATGAAGTCTCCAGATAGCAAGTTTCTCAAGAGGTCAAAATGAGGAGGTTTTATTTATGACAGATTAACAGATTATTAGTTCATAAAAGGTGTCCCTTCCAGAAAGAGCACCAGGATGCTTTATTTCCTAATTAGATGGTTTTCTGCACATAAATAAAGGAGAATCACTGCTGCCTGTCAGAGAGACCCTCTGACAAGACAGGGTCTTTCTTGTCTCTGTCCTGATTTACAATATGACCTTGGGCAAGTCATTCATCTTCCTTTAAACCAGTTTCCCTAATTATAAAATGGAAATAAAAATACTCACTGCCTTGGCTGAAGATTAATGAGACAAGATGAATCTTTCTAGGCTCCCAGGGGGTAAAGCTTGTGTATAAGAAGGCAAAGAACTAGTAAGAAGCACTGTTGGACTTTTCACACAACAGGGGGAATAAAAACCAGGACAATAAAATCCTCTTCCTTTAAGTTTCCCGGTCTGAAAAAGAAAGAACCCAGTGTTTCCTGCTCATTAAAACACACCTGTAATTGGTGATAACTCTTGGGCAAATTAATGTTTTGGTGCCTTGATTTCTTCTCTGTAGGATATTGGATAATAATCCTACTCATCACATATGTACAGATAATACATATAGATGCCTTGCATATACTGATTTCTCCACAAATGTTTGTTTATAGCCTCTCTTAGACCAATTCAAACTAGGAAGTATTTTACTTTTAAAACTCAAGTCTTTATGAGAGAGCATTGGGATGCAAAGATTAACATTATGTAAATATTGGTACTTAAATTTTTTTTGTAGTTGTAGATGGACAGAATCCCTTTGTTTATTTTTGTGTGGTGCTAAGGATTGAACCCAGTGCTTCATACGTGCTAGGCAAGCACTCTGCCACTGAGCTATAGCCCCAGCCCAATATTTGTACTTTTAAAAGGTGGCGGGAAACTGGAAGCCATAAAACCCAGTGCCTTCTGCTTGAATAAAATGAGTTTGGAGGACTTGGACAACGCCTTAAAAATTCGCCAGTGAGGACACGAGGGGGCACTGTGCGTCCGCTTTGGCGAGGGAGAGGCGGCCACCCGCGCGGGGCTGGGAGGATTGAGAGCATCCAGCATCCCAAGGCCCTGGCGCCTAGCGCTCCACCAGCGCCACAGATCCCAACCCCGACTCAAGGGCCGCCTGGGTGATCCAGGGCTGGGAGCGCTCTCAGCCCCACAACTGTTCGCGTTCGGTTCCCTTCCCTCCCGAATATAAGGTTTTCTGGCAGCTGTTTTTAATATTAGATTCGCTGAGTTCCGGAGCTAGGGAATCCGGAACCAACTGCAAATGTAAGGGAACATTTTGGGCGCATCTACATCGGGCATTTTCCTCGGCATAAAGGAAAAAGCTGTCAGATTCCGTAAGGGGTCCGTGTCCAAAGATGTGCTTGAGTTCTTCCAATTTAGGGAAGGAGGACGCCCGCCTACACGCAGCAGATTGGGAAACGACTCTAACATCACGACTAGTCCACTTCTCAGTGTCAGGGCGACAAGCTGGCACACCCCACGAATATGCCATCAAAAAAAGGGTCCAAGGCAGGTCCCGAATGAAAGCTTTCAGGTCTGAAGTTGAACTGCACTTGTGCTAAAAGGAGACAGTGTGGCCTCGGTCCAAGATTCTTAACTACTCTTAGTCCCCCCCAAAGAGGCGTGATACCGGGAAAGTGATCCTGGCAGGATCTGTTCCACCTGACGCTCGGGTCCCCATCTCACAAGGTTGCTCAAGCAGGATGAGGAGACTCTAGGGATTTTGCTAGTCTCTAGAGAGAAAGTGTCGCCGGCGGAGGTTGTCCTAGCGTCCCCTCTGTTACCAGAGGCATCTGGTTTATTGATTTCTTTGCGATCCTTGGGCGGACGAAGCGAGAGTCTGCTCTGATTCCCGGGCTCCAGGACCGAACACCTCGCTTGTCCGTTGAAAATCATGCCACCCAGGGCGCTCGGATAGAATACAGGGTGGGGAGACCTGAGAAAAAGCATAGGGCAGGAGAGGGTGAGGGTAGCCAGCCGAAAGCAGAGCAGAACAGGCGGTTGCACTGGCCAAGGAGAAACCACATCCATCCTAAACTTTGGGATATCTGGGAGCCTGGCAAGAATGAGCCAAGCGGGAGCAACAGCAGCCTCTCCACGCCGGCGTGCCCAGCTGTAGCAGGAGGTGCTGCACGCAGCGCGGGCTGGACGCGGGCGGTCCCCACGTCGCGCCCACCCGCCTGCCAAAGCGCCGCCGCACCGTTCGGGACACAGAGCGAGTGACCACAGAAACAGCCAGATTGCGGGCTCCAGCCTTCACGGGAGCTCCGAGGAAGGGGGATTCAACGCGGATCGGAAAGGGAGAGAAGATACTTGATTTTGAAACCTTGCCTATCTCTGTGTGGGTGGCAGGGTCTTGCCCTTGGGCGGCCTTGGGCACGCAAGCTGAAGTCAGGTAGACTCCGGAAGAAGTGAGCGCAGAGACTTTCACGGGCTAAGGAAGTCGAATTTAAAAAGAAATGTGGAAAGCAATCCAGGGTGGCCACTGGAGCCCGGTAGCTTAAAAACCACCCGATCCCCACTAGGAGGACGACAGTGACTGGCACTCGCGAAGACTCGGCGCTCCCGGGCAGCCGCTGGTCTGCGCGGAGGAGCCGCCTCCCCAGCGTGGGGCGCGCGTGCAAACGCCAACCGCGGCGGGCAGAAGGCGGCGAGATGCGGCGAGCGGCCGCCGGACTGTCCCGGCTGGGGAAACTCTGGGGCTGCGCGGCTCGGTGCTGACCCAGGGCAGGTTCGAGGGGTGTGCCCGGCCCCGCCCGCCTCCGCCCCCTCCTGCGCCCCTCCCAGTGGCGGCGGCGCATCCAGGGGCGGTGCGGAGCGCAGCGGCTCTGCTCAGCCGCCAGCTCCTGCGAGCTCCGCGGCTGCTCCGGGAATTTACTTTGCTGCTTTTAACGTGTCTCTCTTTCTCAGACCGCTTCGAATGGCTTTCGGTCTCTGGCCTGATCGTTTCCTTTAACAGGAAAACTTTACTGCGCTTTCTTTTTCCCCTTCGAGGAGAGGATTAAAAGTTCCACGAACTGGTGCCGCCCGTGCCGCTTGGGCGCTGGGAAGGTGTTCGCCGGAGGGGTTCCCAGTCCCACCATGTGCACCAACATAGTTTACGAGTGGCTGAAAGCGCTGCAGCTCCCGCAGTACGCGGAATCCTTCGTGGATAACGGCTATGATGACCTGGAGGTGTGCAAGCAGATCGGAGATCCGGACCTGGACGCTATCGGGGTGCTGGCGCCCGCACACCGCCGACGCATCCTGGAGGCCGTGCGCCGGCTGCGGGAGCAGGACGCTGCTGCCGCGGGCCTCTACTTCACACTGGAGCCGCAGCCCGCGTCGCCGGGGCCTCCAGCGGACGACATGACCCCCTGCCGCCGGGGGGAGCCGTGCGGCGGCCCAGCCCAGGGTACCTGCGGAGACCCCCGCGGCCAGACGACCGCCCCCCGGAGTAGGGAGCTGGTGAGCTACCCCAAACTGAAGCTGAAGATCATGATCAGGGATAAACTCGTTCGAGATGGCATCCACCTGAGCAAGCCCCCTTACTCCCGAAAGGTAAGAAGGCGCCGCCCAGGCGGCCCGGGCGGGAGGAGGGTGGGGACAGGTCCAGACTGCTTGCGCCGGGCTGGGCAGCCCATTCCAGGTGACAGTGGGGAGGGCAAGATGGTTTGGGTGTCTGGAACTCTTCTCTTTTCTGTTATCTCTTTATTCCTTCCTTCCTTGTGTCACTAGTGGTTGATAAGACAAGATCCAGCTCTCGGATATTAACTCCAAACTAGCTCGGATTCTCTGCGTAGTCATTGGGTCTCATCTGTTAGGGGTTGTGGACTTGGAGTTGCTTCTGGTAGTAGGGGGATTCCCAACGTCTCTGTGGTGCTTGGGTCTTCAGGATACCAGAAAACATGGTCAACACGGAACATTATATTCAACCTTCCTTTTCTTCTTTACTTTTCCGAGTTTTGATAAACTCCCCAAAGAAATAAATTGATGAACTCTCTTGAATAAAGAGTGGGAGGTTGGGCCCAGTTGCTCTCAGTTCTATAAAATAAATAACCCGGCCGCTGCTGCACATTTGAGGAGTATAACATTAACCTGAACATCCTTGGGAGGGAGTTAATGAAACACGAAACATGTGCCCATGCACTTGAGTGAGACGCCTTCTTTGAACTTAACTATCCCGTGTTTGGTAATGAGGTACTGAAGACATTGGGAAATATGGGGCCAGAGGGCGCCCTTTGGAGGTCTGCGGTGTCAACTCTTTGGCTGTTATTGATCTAGATGAGATGAAGTAGGTACAACTGTGACTTACTTCAGGTGACATTTCAGTTTCAAGAGAGGATTCTGCAAGGGGGCGGGAAGGGGTGGGGAGCACCTTGGAAATGCTCACAGCTGCTCTTGGAGCAAGGCTGAAATGTGCAGTGGGCTTTGAATAATTAGGTAACAGAAAGTGCTGTTTCACCCTGGAGCTCTGCCTCTGTCTCTTGGGTTAGTCCAGTTGAGATTTCTGCAGCTGTCCACAGAGGCCTGACTTGACAGGAAATTAACAGCATAGGTAACCTACCTCGCCTGGATTGCACAGGAAGATGAACACCTCAACTTGAAAAATCAAGACTGGGAGAAGCCCAGGGAGAAAATGATGGCAAGGATGCTCATCTAACAGGGACTGAAAACAGCACCCTGGTGGGGAAATGGGGATGATCTAGTGTTTTGTGGGCATCTGGGGCCCTTGAATTGCTTTATATTCTTAAGTGTTGGTTATAATGCCTGGATTTAAGAAAGTTCAAGTGAAAGCTATATAATAAGCAGATGGAAGTATAGGGTTTGATATTATCCATCTATTATCTTGCAGGTAAGGGAATAACCTGCTTGAGAATATAAGTTGGTTTTTATTATTAAGAAGACAGGTCAGAAGGACAGTGGGCCTCCGTTTAAACATACGTTCCAGTTCCCTGCTCTGACAGTACTATCCATGTGTGCCAAGAGCAAGAATGGATGCAATTTGCCAAAGCAGTTAGCATTAGGTATAGAGGGATCCTGGTCAGTCATACAGGAAGTTACTCCTGGAAGAAAGGAGGGCCAAGCCAGCTCCATGTTTGTTATTAATTGCCACCAGAATGTAGGTGGGCTTAGACTGAGAGAAGGTAAGTACCTGGGCATGTGGTGAGGGCGCAGTTCAAGTCCTGGCCACAAAGGGCAGCAGAGGGAAGGTGTGTCACTAGGGCTTGCTTAGTCTTCAGGAAAGCTGTGAGGTGACACAGCTAGGGAGGTGGGAAGCTGAGGACCTGGGTGATAGGAGTTGGCACTGTAATGTGTGTTAGTTCTGATCCTTACTAACCCAAAGACAGGCCTAAATATCAAACTTGGAAACTGTAAAGGATTTTAAGAATATGCAGTGTCTGACTGTAGGCTTTGAAACTGTAGACTCCTGCCTAGATCAGGGAGTGATAAAGCAGTGCGTTTTTATAAGTTAGATTTATGTAAGAAAATTTTCACTTGCATTGCTATGCTATTTACTTTCCACGTAAAGAATTATTTCATTCAACTTTCATATAAATACAATAATGTTTGCTAATAAAGATATGGCCTGTTCACTTTCTGTACATACTAATTCTCTTTCTTGAACTGATAGAAGGATAAAAATGGGAGCAGAAATGTTTTCATTACCTCCTTCATAGGTACTCCAGCTGGGGACCCCACCCCCCCAAAAAATCAAAGCTGACAAACTTTCTTGTAAGAAAGAATAACTCACTTTGCCAAAAATTAAAATATAATTAAAGGACATGAAACTGCATAGAGGTGTGTAGTAGCAGATCCTGTTCATTTGGAATTTGTTGCATGTGTATTCATTGCTTCCTAAGTTGTGGATTTAAATTATTTAGGGTCTTTTTTTCCCCCTGATGCATCTCATTCACTCATAAGCAGTGCAGGGAATTTTTCTTTAAAATGTGATCTGCATTATAATTTTTCCAGATTACTTGGCTCTGTCATGATCAGCATGTGTAATATTTGTTGTGTGCATTTGGAATTCTGCTTGGAAGATCGGCTCCAGCCTCCTTTATGGTCATTTGCATTGTTGATCCTTGTGGTTTTATGCTTTGGTGAGAATATTAGATGGTTTAAAAGTGGATTATATCAAGGATGATCAGAGCATTTTTCCAAGAGTCACCTGGATGGATTGTACGATTTGCTCCAGTAACTATTCAGGTTTCTTGGTTTAGTAATCAGTGATTTAATATGGAATTAAAAAGCAAGTTTCTCCTTGTTTCCCAAAGGGAGTCTGTAGCTTTGGAAAACCAGGAGCTTTGAAAGAGCACCAGCTTTGAAATTGGAGATGAATCCCTCATCTGCTCTGTAGCTAGCTTCTTTGACAGCTGTGATGGTTGCCTTTACAAATAGAGATTTTTATATGTATATATATATTTTTTAAAACCAAGCTTCTCTATGTCATGACCTCTCTAGGTTACTGTGGTTGATGGGATGCAGAAGGCCTGCCCTCAGAGATCTTGGGATTTAGCAGAGATAAAATAGATTGAGCAATGATGCTGAATTGGAACAGTTGTACCCAGGTTAATTTTCAGGGACTGGTGATCAGCCAGGTCAGAGGAAAAGAGGAGGAAGTCCTGTTTAGAAGCCACTGGAAGCTCTCAGTTTTCAAGGAGGAAGTGACTTGTCAGAACAGGTAAAGATTCTAGTATATCTTGCTGAAATAGCAACCATGCCAACAAAGGCCTTTACAATAGACAATGAGAGTGGAGACATGGGGCATGCCCCTCTCTTAAACAGAGTTTGAGAAAGTGGATCTAAAGCCACTGGAGGAAGAAGGGAGACTTTAGGTCAAGGGAAGTGTTCCGTGGGCTTGTGTTTGAGAATGAGAGAAAACGGAGCATGCCTAAGTGTTTGTGGCAGTGGTGAGAGAAAGGGAGACAATGAAGGTCTGGGAGGAATGGGAGAATTCGAGGTTAAAGGAGAACATTACTGATGTACAAATGTGAGTGGCTGTGATCAGATTTTTATAACCATGCCTAAATATAAACACTATGCAATAAAACACATAGAATTAAATACAGTTACACAGAGAAAGGCATCCTTGCCGTATATTTGTACCACAGGTTATAGGTTATGCATGGTGTTTCATTGAGTTCTATGAAGTGTAACAATGCTTGTGAAGGGGTCTGGGGTAGGTGTGAATGGTACAGGGCTTTAAAGATTCTTTCCACACTTGAAATGGTAGAGTGCAGGCCCCAAGGAGGTAGGAGGTGGAGCAGGCTTCTAGGCTTCTGGACTGAAAGTACCTCTTGCCACATCTATCAGCTGAAACTATTTGAGTTAGGATGACTTATTGAATAATGCTGGAGAAGTGTTAATCTTCATTTGTACCTTAGTGCTAAATGAACTAATTAACAAGACTCCATGATAATAGGGCTCTCTATGGATACTCTGGAGGGACAACCTAGAATGGAGGAATTTAGAGATGCAGAGGTAGCACGAAGACTTCTCTGTATGGAGGAGAGAAGAAGGATTTAGAAAGAAAGGGGAAATGCCGGCGACAGACACACTACTGTCATTTGGAGACCTGCCTGGGGTCGTGGCAGAAGTTGAAATGATAATAAATATTGCTTCTCCCAAGAATTCCTTCTGCCTTCATGATATTACCAAGACAGATTGGAGACTGGCAAACTTAAGATTTTCCCAGGTCAATCAAGATCCTCAAGTGTCCTCAGCCTAGATCCTAATGGGCTTTTTATTGTCTTTGGTCCCTGATTGGAGAACTGTAGGAAGAAGGGATGGGACACAGACAAGAGCTTGGGCGGTGATGGGGCTGCTGCTTTTCTCTTGCTCCTGTGGATTCTGTGTATGGAGTTTCTGTGTAAGTGGACCTGCAGACATCCTCCCGTCTGTTCATCTGTCTCTGTCCATCGACCCATTGTTCATTGATCCATACACCCATACTCCCATATTACCAATACTGAGCATGTGCCATGTGCTAGGTTTTCGGATTGGGATTGCAGGGAGCTAGACAGATGTGTGTTTATATGTGAAGGGCCTAACCCAGGATTTGGCCTGAAGTAGTTACATTATATCAAAGTTAAATGTTAGTTCTACAAACCTCAGAGGTTAGAGAATTTTACACTTGTGTTCCTTTCAAATGTTAACAAAAGTTCAACTTTGGTGAGAACTTGAGTAAAGGTAATGAAAGATGAAGTTAAAAGTCAAAACATGTTTATTTCTTAAGTGTTATTGGAGAAGGACTGGGAATTAAAGTGCTGGTCCTTAGTTCAAATGGCAGTCTTCAAGGATACAAATCATAATAAATGCTGGCAACGACGTAGGACGTAGGGGAAATGGTGCACTGAAACATTGTTGGTGGGACTGTAAATTAGTACAACCACTTGGGAAAGCAGTATGGAGGATTCCTTAAAAGCCTAGGACTAGAACATCCATATGACCCAGCTATTCCCACTCCTTGGAATTTATTCAAAAGAACTAAAATCAGCAAACTCTAGTAATCCAGGTACATCAGTGCTTGTAGCAGCCTAATTCACAATTGGCAAGTT